TTAGCCATTCTGACTGGTGTGAGGTGGTATCTCATTGAGGTTTTGATTTGGATTTCCCTGATGCCGAGCGATATTGAGCACTTTTTCATGTGTTGTGTCTTGCAGAGACATCTTGATTTTAGCCCAAAGAGATTCATTTTTGGCTTTGATCTCCAGGACTGGAAGAGTATAATTTTGTTTCTTTGAAATCTTCAGTGTGGTAATTGGTGATAGCAGCAATAGGAAAGTGGACAAAGACATTTCTCCAATAAAATTTTATTTAAAGAAACTGAATTTAAGCCTTTCAAATAATTCACTTAGCTTCTTTGGGTAAGGGCACTGTGTGTTGAAACCCTACCTTAAGTACAGGAACAATCTAAAGTCAGTTTGGAGATATTCAGCCTTATTAGCTGGTATGGAGAAGTTCTCCTTGCATAAATGTTAATGTGGTTTTGTCTTTGAGGCTTCTGAACATTAAGATAGGAAAAGAAATATACTATGAAAATTAAGGCTACCTGTTATACTCTAAATTTTTTTGTCTAAATTTCAATATTCCTAGTATTTTATGTGAATGCAAATGTTCATTCTTTTAATTTCTTGTCCTTCAAGTTTCTCTAAAGCTTTCTTTCAATGCAATAGATGAGTTATAATGAGTTATAATGAGGGTTATGAGCCTTGTGCATGTACATCCATGCATGTGAATGTGTTTTTGTGAAATAAAATGTACATGAATATACATACATTTACATACACATAACCCTTAATCTTGAACATTCTTTGTCCCACAAAGTATTTCCACATATTTCATCTTTCCTGAAAACACCACTTGAAGTTATGCTTATGATTCCACATTGTGTTCAGAAGAAAAAAGAATGCTGGAGGGGTTACCCCCTAACAATTGCATAACAAAGCAGTTAGAATTTATTGTGCACCCTCTTGAGTTCTATGGAAATGGAACCATGCAGTATGTACCCATGATTTTTCAATGACTCTTTCAATTCCTAGAGTTGTACACTTTAAATATGTACAGTTTATTGCATGTAAAAATGCTCCAATATATTAATTAGTATTAAAAAATTCCTGTGGTGCATGACTCAGAGTCAGATCTGGAGCACAGTTAGCTGAGTCACACATAACAGGATGAGAGAGTTCTCTTCCAATTGTGAAAAAGGAAAGGTTCACATGTGGATATTAAACAGTGGAATTAAATAAAGACAATTCACATTTGATAACATCATTTTTTTGTAAACTAGAAGATTACTTACATATATGAAAGGAGTAAAATGACATAAATTGGATCAAGACAGAAGAACACTACAGCCACACACCTCATAGAACAGCCTTAGAAACACAATGTACAGACTCACACCGGACTAAGGACTATGAGAAGCTCTGCAGAGATCAAAACAACTCCCTACTCTGCAATCCCCTTTGATAATAAAGACATTATATTAAGACATTTTGTTTTAGGATGCTTTGTTTGCAGCAACAACTAAATGATATAATAATCAAATCAGAAAGATCTGAGGGCATTTGTAATAATCAGATTCTTTTTATTCTAGGTATTTATTCTGATAACTAAAGGTAGCATTCATGATTACTGTGTTCTTCAAGTTTATTTCATGTAACTGTACTAAAACCACTGAGGCCCCTTTGAGGTAACATGGAAAGGTCAGAAGGACATACATGTGTGCACAAAACTTGTGACTCAGAATCACATCCTGGACAGGATTCCAAGCTTCCTGGTAAGTCATCCTGTGGTTATGAAGATGGTATATAATGGATGATACGGATATTGTTCATTTGCTGCCCCTTTAGAGGTTATGGCAGAATTTCACATAGTGGGAGATATTTCATTTACAGAAATGGAAGGAATCATATTTGTATGTATGTAGCACTGGAAATTTTTATCCAGAAACCAAAAATAATTTAATAAAACCCCAATCATGCCACCAGTCTTTTATATTAATAAATACACCTTACCAATGGACCCTGGTATTCCATAATTCATTAGGTAGATGAAGTGCCTGAGAAAGGAATATTTTGCATAGCAATAAATATATGTCTTAATATTTTTCTTCATCATCCTTAAAGCCAGGTTTGACTCTAAGACCATATTATGTCAATCTATTTTTTCCATATTTGTC